ATAAGTTTACTAATTTTCCATGACTTTTTGGGAATTGTAGATTATTTCCCTGATTTTTTTTTTTATCTGTGGTGGTCATCAAAAATTTAAACCTTTTAATAATGGAACTTTTTTTTTAATAAATGAAGTGTTTCAGGGGTGATTGTGACACAAAGTGAAAAACCCTGAAAATTTTATGTGCAAAAACTCATTAACAAGATATCAATTTATACTATGTATTTATATTTAATATAATTTTATGAACTAATTTTTATAATTCAATTACCTACAAATAAAGAATATTATACTTTTACAGTAACTAATTTAAGAGAAAAGTTAATTAAGTTCTTACAAGAATCGCAATATTGGATGTTAAAATTGCGTGAATTTGTATTGGGTTTTAAGAACGCGAAAATACAAACCACGATATTGGGTTTTAAAATCACTTAAATATGAATCATGACATTGGATTTAAGAATGCGAAAATACAAATAGCAATATCAGATTTTTGAATCGCGTACATACTCTTTATCTGCAGTATACTCTGTAATCACGGAGCATGGTTTTTAGATTCGTGAATACGAATAGCGACATTGGATTTTAAACTCGCGTGAATATGAATCGCAATGTACGATTCTTAAATAACATGAATATGATTCACAATAAATAACTTTTAAATCAGGTAAATATGAAAATCAAAGTTAGATATTAAAATCACGTCAAAATGAATCACGATATTAGAGGATTTCAGCATAGTTTCAAACATTAAAACCATACAAATCCGACAAATAAAATAAAAAATTGTAGAAGAGACAATTGTGTACGAAAACTTCTCATTAACATGATTTAGCAAAGGTTTCAAAATTTAAATTTTAAAACTTAATTCTTACATTAAATTACAAGGAAAATTTCGTTGGATTATAAGTTTTGATTCACGGAAGTCCACAAAACAATGGTCTTTGTTAGATAAATAAATGCTAAAAGGGTTTTTTTCAATTTTGATTGATTAAATAACATAAAATAAAGGGTAAAGGATCGATCTTCGTCAGTCGTTAAAGATGACGATCTCATGCATTCAACTTACGTCGGTAACGTCATGGTCTGCAGGATCGGCCAGTTTTTTTCATTAGCTGTTGGTCGTTCTTGTGTGGATCATGACGTCATCCTTTTAAGGAGTATTTAAGCTTCTGTTGAAGCCGATTATGTTGGATTCTTTCTTTCGGTTACTCATTTGTCACAGTGTTAGTGAGAGTATGTCTACCAGTTTAATAAGTTTTTAAAATAATTTTATTGCTATAGAAACTTCGTTTTTTATTTGTTTCATTGACAAACAGATACAATGATATTCTGCTACAATCTCGGATGTCAGTTTTGAGGTAGGCGGAATTCCACAAAATAAAAATCCCATGCCCCACTATTAGTTTCTAGAACAGGAGGGATCATACAAGAAATACGGATTTCAAGGATAAACCTATAATATAACCACCCCTGGTGTTTACACTATTGCTATATACACACATATATACAGAACAGAGAGAAATAATTATTGTGAATTACCTTGTAAATTCATCCTCTAGTTGTACAGGGTCTGGAGTGTAAAACTTAACACAAAAATACATACTTGGAAAAAAAGAATGCAGCTGTGAACATAATGGTTTGAGGACATCCAACCAATACTGAAATTCAATAAATGAATAGAAAAGAATAATTAAAAATATGAAAGTAGAAAACAAACAGTAAAGCATTTTATAAGAACTTTAACGTCAAAAATCGTCTTTTAAGATTTTAACTACTACAATAGCTTATTATTTAGGCAGAAAAAATATGTAAAATAATTTAAGTTAATTCATTTTTAGTTTATTTTAAAAGGTCATTTTAAAGATAGTATATATTTCATAAAAAAAAAATCATATAGCCATTGAATGTCATTTTAGTGAATGTTCGAATCAGAAAATGAGTTTTAAGGGCATAAAAATGTTTATAAACCTATAAATAGTGTTATGGCAGCCAACAACAAATTTTCATTTTTTATAACAATTTCTTACAAAATTGTGCATAATAAATGGAAATGACCTTTAAAATATTATTTAAACATGCACAATTATAAGGCAGAAATAATAAGAAAAAATATTTCCAATTGATCTCCTAATGTTCATTTATAAGAAAAACTTAAAAAAATTTTATTTTTTAACTTGTGGATAAGTTTAAGAATTTTGTTAAAAATTCTGTAGCAAGTGGTAAACGTTCTTTTAGAAAATTTAAAGTGTAATAAATAAGAATTTATTGGAGTTTTTCTTATCAATACATTTTAAAGAAGGGTTATTTTTCAATAGATGGCATCACTATGATAAAGTTTAAATGCAATCAAAATGATATTTTATGAGAAATTTTTATTTATCCTTTTAAAATGAGATTTTTGGGGTAGATTGTGGATAGTTAATTGTATTAACATTTAAGGAGGATTGTATTATCACTTTTATAGCGGATTAGTGGGTTTGTGATTGTTTTTCCTAATGGATCTTTTTTTTTCTTCTGGCGTCCACTGAATGCGGGTAATTCATTAATTATTTGTCTATTTTTGAACCTGGGTAACCGTTACCAAAATTCAATTAAAAGATCACAGCCATGCCAAAGTTTGAAGGATAACGGTACTAAAGATATGAAAAGGTATAGGGTTTCAGGTCTACGATGACACAAAAGAGACTAAATTCTTCAGCAATAATTTCCATTGAAAAATGAAACCACAAAATAATTTAATATGAAGGATCTATGTACTCTTTGCACGAATTTTTATGTTTATATTCGTTTGCTGGGCTAAAGCTTTTAAAATGCAAGTTAAAAGTATAAACTTACTTTTTATCATGCATTGATTAGGCAAGAGATAGTTTAAAATACATAGGGCTATAAGAGGATTAATGTATCGACTAAACAAAAAGCAGTTTTGCTCAAAAATTATTACCTATAAAAAAATTAATTGAAATAAAATTATTACTTATAAATTCAATTCATTACTGTCCAACTTTCTATTTTAATTAAATTTATTGAATTTAATTTGGAATATTTATTTAAATCATATATTTTATTTTTAATTTAAATGTAATTGTAAAGTGCAATATAAAACAATTAAAGAGTTAACAGAGATGAGTTTTGCCAATAGAATGGATAATATAACCTCTTAACTGTTTAATTTATTTTACCAAAATTTTGACAAAGAAAAATAAAATAAAAAAAGACATGGGGTAAACCAGCTGCAAATAAGAAACATCAGGACCAGAACACTTTTACACTCAGACACTATTGTGATATTAATTAAAAGTTTACTTTTCTCAATGTATACATACAATATATAATATACAATGTATACATTTCTCTATGTAATATATGTTATGAAAGAAAAAACTGAGAATGATGTGCTGGAACAGTGGAACAGAATGGAGAACAAAATACAAATTAATAATCATCATTTTGGAAAAAAAATTTATTATTTTTTATGCATAAATAATGAAATAAAAGCTGTTGCACTAATTTTTATTAAAAAAAAAACACTAGAAATTCATAGATATTTATGACATTTGTTTACAATTTTATCTTCCAGTAAATAATGACTAAATATATATTTAATTATGCTAACTTTTGTACTTGATATTAAGAGATAATTTGCTTAATTTTATTATAAGTTTTGATTTGGTTTAGAGAGAAAAAAATGAGTATTATAATTGCAAGATAATGTGTAAATAATATTGAGTACAATATTGTATTACATTACTTATTGACAATGCATTTAGTATTTATTTTCATATGTTATTCTAATTTCAGGGCATTGAAAGTTTTACAAACATAAACACCAATATAAACATCAAATAAATAAACAATACATTGTTAAATAAGATATTTTTATAGTTTCAGACATAGCTGTAAGAAAATACAATAAAATTAAGAATAGAAATTAATTCAGTCTTTAAATGCAAAATCACAGCAGACTGATCATTCAAAGGGTATCTATCTGTTGAAGGTGTTCAGGGATGAATTACATATTCTATCACTGAGATTAAATGCTAAATATTTGCATGTTTAATTTAAAGAGAACACAAAAGTTTCAATGAATAAATTTACAAGTTAAATTTTAACTAAAAATCAACTTTTTCTTTTATTAAATTTAACACTACAACATTTTTGAAAATCGTTTAATATCTAAACATCAAGTTAAACTGCACATGAAAAACAAAGCCAAATAGATTTGAACGGCAAATGAAATCAAAGCTTAGTGTATGATAATGTGTACACGATATCTGCTACATTTTAGATTTTCAAATCCATGACCAATTCTAAGAATTTTTCATGATTTAAAGAAGTTACTATTTTCTCTGATATAAACACAACAATAAATTTAAAAAGCATTATAATAACATTAATTAAAATGATAAGTATAACGAAAACTGTTATACTCTGCAGCTTCATATTTATAGATTTTAAATTTAAAAAAGAGTAAAGAAAGAGTTGAAGCAATATAATACATGGAAAAAAAACACAAAAGCAAAATTTTTTTCTGATGAATTATATTCTAAAGATACTTTTTTAAAGTGTTTATCTGAAAAGAAAGAAATACTAGTGATTTTTCTGTTCTCATTTCTGAACAACAAAAAAATTTTAATAAATTAAAAAAATTCTGAAATCACAGAAGTTTGAAAGATAATTAGTGCTATAAATGATGTTCTTTCTTTCATTTTTTGAAAGAACACCATAATTTTTAAAAAACATGGTGAAAAAATTTTATCTTTTAATAAAATACTGACTGTAGCTCTTATTACAAATTAAGATATTCGGAACATAGTAAAATGGGAAAGGGAGGGGGGTAATTCCGTTTTAAAAATTAGATCTTTCTGCGGCCTAAATCCATGACTTTTCATGATTTTTTTAAAAAAATAGTTAAAATCATGACTTTTCATGGCAAATTTTGTTTAATACCAAAATCCATGACTTTCCAGGTGCACACAGCACAAATAAGGCCAATTAGATATTAACACTCTGATATTAAGCATTTCAAACATTTACAAACAGGCCTTAAAATATTTAACAATAAACAATTCAGAAATTAAAATTAAAAATTGTTAATTTAATACCTTTTTTCCTTTTTCATCCTCACATTCCAAACCAAAGTAATCTACTTCCAGTAAGTTAAAACCTTTTCAAAGAGCAACTGACCAAGTGTTTTAGCCTGTAGAGAGAAAATATAATTATATATAACTCATTCAGTTATTAGGTTGAAACAAATGTCACAATGAAACAGAATACACTCAGCTTTTCCATTTGCATTAATAAACACAGAAAAATCTCTCAATAAGTAATACTAAATCAACTACGCAGAAGGGTCTAGACATGCAAAAAAATTAAAATTCAAAGAGTTTAAAATTTTTGAAATAAGATCATGGTGCAGAATTTACTGTCAAACTGCACCACTATCTTCACGAATTTAAAGTCTGCAACCTGCAACAAAGTCATTGTTATTAAAAACATTTAGCATAATTCAAAGTATTTATGTAACAAAGTTTACAAAATTATAAATTGTGCACAAACAGTTTTTAAACTCAATTTGTGATTTACTGTTGTGAGGATTCCCTTTTTAAATTGCGAGATTAATCTGCAGATGCTGCGGTTAATCTGCCGTGTCAGTTACAGAGCTGGGAGGGTTTCTGTTTCATGGGTCAAAACTTAGTATAACCATTAATCTACTCTCACTAGTTAAGCACTGTCTTTGAGTCAGATTACATTTTAATAATAATATATCTTTTAAATTATACAATATTTTGACATCTATTTCAAAGGTCCTATAATTTCAAATTCTTGTGCTAGGATTATGCAGCTTCAACAGCAAGTGTAGAAGTAAAATTTATCTCCAAAACTTAAACCCCATTTAAAAAATTTTAATATGCCCGTTCGGGAGGGACAAATGAAAAACAAAATTTTCTCATACTAATTATATCAGGATTTGAGAAATACAAAAAAAAATTATTACCTGCAGTTGAAAGACATGACTTGAATCATCTAAGAAAAAAACCGTAATACTCATAAATTTTTTACTCCTACGATGAGATGGTTGATAGAGATCAGGTGACTTGCTCAATTTTAATATCATAATTGTAAACTACTATGCAATATATTTAGAAAAGAAAATAATAAGGTATTTTTAATAATAAGAAATCATAAAAATTTCAACTGATTAGTGAATGATTAATTTATAAATTTGACAATTCAATTCAATTAATTAGTGAATATGACAATGAATTAATTAGTGAATGATTCGCAAGTTATGTTAAAAATTCAAATGGCCAACATCTGATTTCAATCTCAATTAATATATATAAAATTTTATTTGACAAGGTTTTCTGCAATTTGAAAATTTTGTAGTAGAATATTTAAGCAGCATACTCATTATTTGGAAAAATTCTAAAAAAACATTACATAACTCAGAATGTCACAAACAAAATTATAAAATAAAAAATTTCTGGAAGACTCTCATGCCTGGCAACTTTGTGCGAGTAAGACAAAAATGATTGCATTTATTAATTAAAATGAATAAAATTATATAAAATAAAAATGGTAAAATGAAAATAAAATTAGCAAATTTAACGTATGTAACAAATATTAAAATTATTTTGCGAAAGGGTATCAAGGAACAAGAGAAAGATAACATTTCAATAAGTTGCAGCAAAGCTTCAGTATGTCAAATTTAATAATAACCAAATTGCAGTAAAGTTTTCAGTAAGGTGAAAACGAATATTTTACCAAGAGGTAAAAAATTACAATTAATTTGGCTAATTCAAATTTCTTAATAAAGAATCTTCAAACAAAAAAATTTTTTTTTAAAAAAATAAGGCTATAAATAAGAATAAATAAAATCAGAGATTTAATATTTGCAGAAATTTGTCTCTATAGAATTCTTATAGAATAAGTGAAAAATGAGCAAGGCAAAAAATAATTTTAAAAAATGAAGAAAATGTTTTAAAATATATAATTAAGTTATTCTAAGATACTCTTAAATAATAACTTATTTACCTATACATTATAAGTTATTATAAAATATATAAATAAGTATAAGAGTATCTGGGATAGGTAGAAAAAATCTTGTTCATTCAGTTTAAAGAAAAAGAAAAAACAAAATGTACAGAAAATCTAAGATTTTGATATGCACAAAGTTTAGTCCCCCCCCCCTCATTAAAGTAGCATGAACAAAACAAAAAAGCTTTCTTTCTTAATTGACATGTTTGCCTAGCTATTAAACTTTTTTTTAAAATTATTTTTGGGCAAGTTCCTTTATTTAATTACGAAACGTGAAATTTCCCTCATAAAATTAAAGAAGAAAGGTTATTTTTCATCTTAACTGCTAGTTAAAATGTAGCATGCTTAAAATTAAAATGTTTAAGGAATGACCTTAAAAAAGTTTATAATTGATGGCTTACTGATCACATCGCCCATTCAGAATTATCAATTCTAAGTAAAACATTTTCACAACTTTATAGTATATTACACACAGCAAATCATGTTTAAATTAAACATTATATATTGAATTGTTTTTGTTTATAGGGTGTGTAGCCAAATCCCTCAACAAAAAATAAGCACCTTTAAAGTACTTTTGAAGCACTTAAAAAATATTTTTAAGCACTATATACATTAACAAAATGCAAAATAATTTTCAAGACCTTACATGATCATGATAAAATAACTAGTTTCTGACAAAGAACTCTTTTCTTGATTATATTAGCCGTTATAAAATGATCAAGTGATTTTTCAGTTCGATATCAGAGGGTGGAAAATGAAGTATGAAATTGAGAATATCTTGATAAATGCAACACATGAGAGTGCAATAATCTCACCGGACCCAGCTCAGTCTACGCACATGCGGACTTGCAAGTATTTCATCAAACATGTAAAATGGTCAACGATTTCATATGCTATAGATCGACAGTATACCGAAATAGATTGTTGAATGAATTATGAAAACTTAGAATAGAACAATGTGAAAAGCACACTTTTGCATAGTACTTGGCAAAAATCAACACGGTGAAGAAAAAAAAATTTAATTTTGGAAAAGGGAAAATTAAGCACTTTTTAAAAACACCCATTAAAATCGCACCTTTAAGGGCTCTTAAAAAACGAATATTGAAAATAAGCACATTTAAACGCTTTTAAAAAACCCTACGCAACATGGTTTAATACTAAGAACTCCTCACAAAATTGTAATTAATACATAACACACATTTACTTTCATAGAAAAGACAAATAACTTTTTAAATAACCTAGTCATAAAGAAAAAAAAACACAAAGCAATTATAATTTGTGTAAAGTATATATATATATTCTAAAATTAGGAAGAGAGATTGTAATGGACATAAATTTGATTTGCAAAGCTATTTTTTATAGACCTAAAAGTAGTGCTTTAAAGAGGAACATCAATCAAAGCTTGCCTAAGAAAATACATAAGGCCTCTACGATTCATATAAATTAGGCCTGTTGAGGACAGGTATCAACATGAAAAGGAAGAAAAAAATGAAGAAAAAAATTTGAAATTATGAAAAGGAAGAAAAAAATTTGGATAGCACAAAAAAATTTGCGCAATGTCGATAATCCTTTTAAAAAAATAGGAGGAATCCTTCATCCAAAAAAATTAACAATTATTTTTAGATACCCTTTTCTTCCATACGCAGTTTTCAAACTAGTTATTAAATGTATTGTGATGATAGTGAGAGAAATCTCTTTTTTAAAAAAAAATACATTCCAGATAGTAGTAGGTAAAGACCAATATTGTAATAATTAAATAATTACCAAACGCAGTAAGCAAAAATAACAATTGATGGTTTTTAACAACTAATGATATCAAGCAATGAACTAATACATATTACACAATTAAAGCTAAAAGAGTTTTCTAACAGAAAATTCATAACTCAACATTTACAGGCCCAAAATATCAACAACCACAAGCTAAAAGAAAAATGTTTCGCTTTTGTATCAAACTTATGATTTGGCTTATAGCTTTTGTAGAGCAAACTTACGTTGTTGTTCATTTACGTCACACTAGAGCTGCACAATGGGCCATTGGCGACGGTCTGGGAAACATCCCTGAGGATTATCCGAAGACATGCCATCACAATTTTGATCCTCTGCGGAGGGGATGGCACCCCCGCTTCGGTAGCCCGACGACCTGTACGCGAAGTCGAGCACTTTACGGTAGAACAGTTTAACGAGGACCAATTCCGCACACCCTCGGTCCCTACGCAGGCTCATTCAAGTGGTCACCCACCAGACCACAGCCAGTGATGTTTGATTTCTGTGATCTGCTGGGAACTGTGTCTTAACGATCATTCCACTGCGGGACGCAAAGTTGCGTAATTTAATTGTTAATTGGATTCTGGAAAATGACGTAGTAGGAGCTTGTTATTACTGCTGTAGTTCATTTACGTCGCACTATATCTACACAATGGGCTATTGGCGACTGTCTGGGAATATCCCTGAGGATGATCTGAAGACATGCCATCACAATTGTGATCCTCTGCAGAGGGGATGGTACCTCCGTTTCGGTAGCTTGACGACCTGCACGCAAAGTCAAACACTTTACTGTGGAACAGTTTAACGATGACCGATACCACACACCCTCGGTCCCTACGCAGACTGATCCACGTGGTCACCCACCAGACCATAGCCAGTGATGCTTGACTTCGGTGATCTGCTGGGAACCGTGTCTTAACGATCAGTGCACTGCGGGACAGTAGGAGCTTGCAACTGTTTGGCCAGAAAAGGCATTAAAAGCGCTTAATCAGGATGGTAGATCAACGTGTTATTAAGTAACTATTACGCCATGTTAATACGTAAACTTCATGATGCTAGAATTTTAGTCCCACCTCTTAAAAAGTTGTCCTATTTAACAAAACATAGGTGAGACGACGCCGAGTCATATCTTTTTATAATTTTTGGGCATTTATGTCAAAATTAGTTTATAGAACCTTTTGAAAGCATTCGCTATTACTAAGATCGAGTACATCATGTAGGGATTCCATGGAAAACAACTGGGAGATTACTTAAAAAGCTTGTTTTGAGTTCTAGAGCCAAGTGTGACCAAAAGGGTTAAGTGATAGGTAGCGACAACTTATAAGTCCCGAGGAACCGGGGTTAAAACTTCAGACATGAACATTATTATTATATATACTTATAAGATACTTTTAAATGCATCAATTTGGATATTAGAATCAATAAAATTTAATAATCAATACAATGTAGGGAAAAGAAAAAGTTCCTTTATAAAATAAATAAAAAAGTTGTAATTCCAGAAATGGTCATAAATAGTTACCCTACGAAATACAGGGTATTAATTTTTTGGGATTTTTCCAGTTTTTTAGCATTATTTGAAATTTACCGAATAAAAAAATTCTCTTTTATATATGGGATTCTTTAATACTTTGAAAAACACATTAAATAAATAAATTAATGTAAAATAAACAAAAGAAGAAAAAAATAAAAAAATTTAAAAATTGACCACAGCTGGGGTTCGAACCACGACCATCGCTCCATGCGTAAGTCACAAGGACATGGTCTAAGCAGTTGGACTACGCTTATACGAGGATCGCGCTGCAACATAGCTTCAAGTACCCTCTAGCTGTTAGCTAAACAAAAGACTTAAGGGGCCACAGCTGCCCCCCTAATTTATGTATAAAAATGTCCTTTGATAGGGTAATTTGGCTCATAGAGGCCTACTTTTTATACGAGTTTGAAAATTATAGCTTAAAACTGAAGGGAGTCAGACGGTTTTGAAATTTTAACCTTTTTCTAGAAATTTTATTTTATTTTATTTTTTATTCCATCAGGCTCTCTTTTACATAGAAAAACATGATTTTATACATAGAACACCTTTGGTATGCTAAAGCATCGCGAAAATATTGGAAAACAAGTTTGAAAAAATAATATAATATAAATAAACTGATTTTTCGGGATTTCTTCAAATTTTAAGCATTATTTGAAATTTCTTGAACAAAAAAAAAAAACTTTTTATATATAGGATCCTTTTATATATCGAAAAACACATTAAATAAATAATATAATGTAAAATAAACAAAAGAAGAAAAAATAAAGAATTTCAAAAATTGAAAGTAGCCGTGGTTCGAACTCACCCCCCCCCCCTCGTTCCAGGCGTAAGTCTCTGGCACATGGTCTTATCCTTTGAACCACGCTTACACTGGAATCGTGCTACTACATAGCTTCAAGTACCCTCCAGCTGTTAGCTAAACAAAAGACTTAAGGGGCCGCAGCTGCTCCCTAATTTATGTAAATAGATATCCTTTGCTATGGTAATTCGGCTCATAGAGGCCAACTTTTTGTCCGAGTTTGAAAATTATAGCTTAATAATAAAGGGAGTTAGTCGATTTCCGGCTATGTTCATTTTTTGAATTTTTTTATTTTTTCTTCTTTTGTTTATTTTACATTATATTATTTATTTAATGTGTTTTTCGATATATAAAAGGATCCTACATATAAAAAGTTTTTTTTTTTTTGTTCAAGAAACTTCAAATAATGCTTAAAATTTGAAAAAATTCCGAAAAATCAGTTTATTTATATTATATTATTTTTTCAAACTTGTTTTCCAATATTTTCACGATACTTTAGCATACCAAAGGTGTTCTATGAATAAAATCTTGTTTTTCTATGTGAAAGAGCGCATGATGGAATAAAAAATAAACTAAAATAAAATGGCGTCAAAAAGGTTGTCATTTCAAAACCGACTAACTCCCTTTAGTATTAAGCTATAATTTTCTAACTCGGACAAAAAGTTGGCCTCTATGAACCGAATTACCCTACTAAAGAATATTTTTATACATAAATAAGGGGGGCAACTTTGGCCCCTTAAGTCTTTTGTTTATCTTGCAGCTCAAGGGTACTTGAAGCTATGTAGTAGCACGATCCCAGTATAAGCGTGGTCCAATGGTTAAGACCATGTGTTAGTGACATATGCCTGGAACGAGGGGGGTGGGCTCGATCCCCGGCTGTGTTCAATTTTTAATACTTTATATTTTTTCTTCTTTTGATTATTTTTCATTATATTAATTATTTAATGTGTTCATACCCCAATGTAGGAATTCGGACTGATTTATGATGGTCCAGTATAAGAATAGCAACTTATTTTGATGGTTTGCTCGGGATCAGAAAATTTTATCACCGTTTCTTAGAAATCAAATGTCGGAACGACCATGAACCTTCATGCCCCAATGTAGGAATTGGGACTGATTTATGATGGTCCAGTATAAGAATAGCAACTTATTTTGATGGTTTGCTCAGGTTAAACCATCAGAAAATTTTATCATCGTTTCTTAGAAATCAAATGTCGGAACGACCATGAGCCTTCATACCCCAATGTAGGAATTCGGACAGATTTTTGATGGTCCAACATAAGAATAGCAACTTATTTTGATGGTTTGTTCAGGTTTAAGCATCAAAATTTTTTATCACAGTTTCTTAGAAATCAAATGTCGGAACGACCATGAACCTTCATACCCCAATGTAGGAATTCGGACTGATTCATGATGGGTCAACATAAAAAAATGAAACTGTTTGTTGAAATTCCTGAAGAATCAACAAAAATTTCCATTAAACCATCATGAAAATGTATTGTTGCACTATTATGGACCACTACGAACTTCCATAGTATACCAGAGATCAAATGTCGGAACAGTCATGAACAACCATCATCCCAAAGTAGGAATTCGAACTGATTTATGATGGTTCAACGTAAAAAGAAATTGTTTTGATGGTATATTCCAGGAAATCATCAAGAATTCCTATTATAATATCATAGAAATGTATTGTTCGAAGCAACATAGATCATCATAAATTATTGATTCATGAGAATCAAACTTATCTTGATGGCTAGCATCCATAGCATTAAAGTAGTATTTTCCATCACGGAATATAGGAAGTTTGTTGGCATATCAAACACTCATAATGGAAAATGTTGGATGATGGTGACCATCAAATTATGAAGGACCATCATAAATCGAGCTGAAACCAACATAAATCACGCAAACTTTTCGATGGGACCATCAATAATTTTGAATTGAGTATGTTACAAGGTGTCTACATAAAGATCTATCTTGGGGATAGAAATCGAACCCGGGACTTAATAAGCTCTGATACGCTTGGTAGAAGGATAATAGCCCGTGAAGTCTCTATGCTGATATATTTTTGGCATTTCTAACAAAGCAGGAGCAAAATATCAAGATGCAGGTATATAATACGGTTTTACATAAAGACTCGTTCAAAAAATATTCATATAATACATAGATTTAGCTGTACAAAGATGAGAAAAATGTCTTCTGCTATGTAAAAGTTTTGTCTAATTCTCATCTAAAACTTGATTTTTTGGTAAAAATCTCAGTTGCAAAGCTTGTTTAAATACCTGATTACCTACTCGGTTTCCTGATTAAAATAGCAGGTGTTTTTAATTATCGTGTTTCACCTCCTCTCAATTATCTCTGTAAATCAAATAGGTTTTGGATGGTTTTTATCGCGCCTTTCTCTTAAATTATTCGTCACGTTCTGATCTAATTATTCATTTTTTTGGGGTTTTCGAATGTAATGATCCTTTTACGAGGGCAATTTTTTAAATAGGGTCACTTAAAAATAAAAACCAAATGAAAGAAAATTTTCATGAAGCAAATTTATTCTTTGATTCTACGTACGTTTCTCTTCCTTTTTTCTTCAAAATAGTTGCAAGTTTGCTTAAGCAACTTATCATACCTTACAACTAGACATAGAATACCCTCTTCATAGTAACTTACCGCCTGCTCTGATAACCAAGAGCAGGCGGCAAGTCACGACCGTTTTCACGTTTTCGTAAGCGTTGTACTGGTTGCGGGTTAAACGATGTTTAGAACATCGGAAAAGATGAAAATCACTTAGCGCAAGATCTGGGCTG